CCTACACATCAGTTATTTGGGCGAGACTGCAGTGATATTTCAAGTTTATTTTACTATTGCTTTAACAAAGTTAATAAATTTCAGGTTGCAGTCAGATTAGAAAAAGTAAAACATCTTGTAATAGTCAAAATAAACTCAGGCCTATTGACAATCAGAACTTGGGGATATCTAATGCATGCTGTATTTTAGTTTCTTGCTTTCGTTTATCGATATAACCATCATCAAGCAGCACATACCCAAGCTCACCCACATACCCAGTAACCCGCTCAGTTTACTTAAAAATAAAGCAAATGCTTATCTGATAGATTGTAAGTATTACATGTTATTTATAAGCAGGAAGTTTATGTCAAAATAACCTTTTTTGCACGCATGCATATACAAAAATAATTGTTAGTATCTTAAAATTTGCATTCAGAGCTTGTTTCTCTCTGCAGCCAACTATGTTCTTATGCTATTTTTTTTTTTTTCTAGCAGGGCACTTGATGCATGAAGAAACACAATTCCCATCAGATGCAAATAAGTCAGTGACCTGTCAGAGGCCTTTGTGTAGCCTCTCAATTTCAGGTTTGAAACTTACATAGCTGCCAAGATCACTGACACATTGTAGAATAAGAACCACCAAAGACATAATAAACACAGCAGTACAGTATCATATTCCAAGAGTTTCAGGTTTATAAACAAATGGCATGATAACGAAACAGTATCCACAGTTTGCTAGTTTGGTGTAATATTATTCCATATAATAAACTAAAATGTCACTAAGAGTATCTTCAATGGAATTCCTCCACCAGACGTAACTAGTTTCATACAAAACACATATCGGCTAACATCTCACAACAATAAAATCCATTTCCCTAGTTATAAAACCAGTGTTGGAACTGTAATACAAGATACATATATATGATTTTTTCCTCACACACATCTATAAGTCCAGGTTTTGGCCAGGCTGACAGGTCATTAACAGTTTGACGATCTCCAGGATACGACAGACAGAGTGGTGATATTTTTCAACAGCCTTTGCAGTCAGGGCTACTGAGCAAGATGGAAAAAATACTATAGGGATGAAATTCTACACACACTGCAACTTAGAAGTCACTCTTACGGATTATTTACAGAAAGAGGAAGAGACTTCTGCATATTTTTACTTCCCTACTATTAGCAAATAATAACAATAATAAAAGCTTACAAAAAAAATTCAAAATGCCCACTCTAATTTTTCCTAAGAGCCTAAGCATCCCCATGTTGCACATAAACCAACAGCTAACATCCATAACAGCACTCATCAGATCCTTCCAAGGGAGAAAATGCACTATGCGTTTTCCACAAATTATTTCGTTTCAGGAAAAACAAAACCAAGCAGCATGGAGCTGCACCCTAAGGACAGAACTACGCTGTCCCCACAGGGCGGCTCTTCCCCGAGCAGCGCTTTCTTTGTTTCCCCTCCACACTCACCGCCAGCCCCGGGTTCCACCCGAGGAAACTCTCACGGCGCCGCCGTTATAACTGGGGAGGTCATTTCACGGAGGCTTCATCGGCGGAGGAGACCCCGGGGCCCCGCAGGAGCGCAGCGCCCCTGGCAGCTGGCCCGACAGGCCGCGCACCGGGGCTCCGCTGGCACCCCGAGCGCGGAGGGCGACGGCGGCGACCGGAGATGCCACCGAGGTGCCCTCCCCCGTCCCCGGAGCCCCGTGCCGCCGCGCGGGCCGTACCTTGGTGGTGCGGATGTGCTCCCTGACGAAAAAACCAGCGCCCCGCGCTGTCCGCAGCGCGCATGCGCAGTCACGTCCGGCGGGCCGAGCCTATTGGCTCTATTCCATTAACGTTAAACTGGGTGTTTTCCAGCCTGTATTTTATTGTTAACATTATGTGATGAAGCAGCGCTCTGGTCCGTTTCGAGAAACGTCTCTATAGAGACTTAAGCATCTCAGAGCTTTCACGACTTTGGGCTTCCCTTTTTTACAATGTCCGTAGGCACGGGGCGCGTGCGCAGTATTTAAGCGAGTGCGGCCCGCGCACCACGAGGCCACAGGACTCTGTAACAGAACTAGGCGCCCAGCAAGTATTCCCGAGGATCCCTTCCGGTGAGCAGGGCCCGCAGCAGGGCGCACCGGGGCACGGGCTCTGGCTGCCCCCGGTGCCTCCAGCAGCTCCGCGACCCGCGTCGCTGCCGCTCCCGGAACGCAACCAGCCTCCCGTGTTTTTCCAGGGTTTAGCGCCTCCAGAAACCCCCTTGGTCTCGAGCAGTAGCTTTGGAGCACACATTTCCGTGCGTTTTCTAATTATGGCACTTTCACCACCACTATGCCCTAGACTTGACTCCAGGGAATATATCAGTTATCTAAGCCACTCATATTGCCCTTCTAGTCACTTGGACGCTTGCGTTCTCCCACTGCACCCGCTCTCGAGTGCTTCCACAGCGTTACCTTTTACACTGAGCTTGTCACTATAAACACGAAGCAGTTCTATGTCTCTGATAGGGCGAGAAGAGAACAAAAGCACAGCAATAGAGGGGGGAAAAAAAAGAAAGAAAAATCGCATGGCTCCCCCATCGCTTCTTCCCCACGCTCTTCGCTTGCGTGGTGATTCCTTAGGACACTCACCCAGACCCGAGCGCGTCAGGCCCAGCCGCGGGCGCTGTCGCTTTAAGGCGGCC